CCCCAAAACCCCAAAACCCCAAAACCCCAAAACCCCAGGTATAATATATCAGACTGAAAATATTTAATTGGCTGAAAATCGATAAATTTGATCAAAACGTTGCATTACGAAATCATCATATCTCGAAAAGGTTAGATATTTAAATTCCAGATTAAATTAAAAATTAATCATAAATATGGAAGAAAATAAGAACGTTCAGGCTGTACAGCCTGAGAAGCCAAAGCTCTGTAGCTACTCAGAGCTATTCCAGTTCCTCCACGGCTCCGACAGATGGCTCCTTCTCATCGGATTCATTGCCGGAATCGCTGGTGGGCTCTCAATGCCAGCATTTGTGTTCTTCTTTGGCAAACTTACAGACTCATTCAGTCCAGAAGAAGGAGGTGCAGAGACTCTCAGTAAGTATTTTCTAAGCTTGCCTAATGCTTGTAGACCAAATCACGAGACTCTCCAAGATCTACCTCATCATCGGAGCCATAATCTGGGTGTTGTCGTTCATCTTCTTCTCGTTCTGGGGAATCATCGCAGAGAAAGTTGGATACGAGTTCAAGTACAGATACCTCAGAGCCATCTTGCAGCAAGAAGCTGCCTGGTACGACGAGAAGGATCCCCTTGAGTTACCAACCAAGATCAGCAATGAGTGTGCAAAGATACAGGCAGCTAGCGGAGAGAAGCTCATAATGATATTCAACTCGATGTCTCAGTCATTAGGAGGGTTTGTCATTGCATTTACTATTGGATGGAAATACTCATTTGCTGCATTAGGAATTTTCCCATTGTTGGGCTGAGGAATCGCAATCATGGGAGTAGGAATTAAGATGGGATATGCTAAATCTGCTGCTTCGTACGCTAAAAGCTCCTCGTATGCTGAGCAAGCCCTTAACAGTATTAAAGTAGTGTCTGCATTTGGGCAGGAGAAGAGGGAAATCGATAATTATGTAAGACATCTTGACGAGGCGAGAAAAGCAGGTCAGACTGGAAAAGCAATCATTGCTACTTCTTTAGCGCTTTTCAACTTCTTGATCTTTTTGTCGTATGCTTACGGTCTCTTCGTTGGAGGGCAATTTGTTAAAGCCAGGATATGGAACCATAACAAGGGGAGACCATACAGTTCTGGAGATATCATTTCTGTATTTTTTGGGGTCCTGATTGGTATCTTCGCTAGTGGAGCATCTGCACCTAATTTTAAAACAGTGTCAGAAGGAAGGATCGCTGCGTATAATGCATTACAGGTTATCCATAGACAGCCAAAGATTATGATAGATGATGCAAGTGCTAAAGATGTCAGTGAAATATCTTCAGACATCTCATTTGAGAATGTATCCTTTAAATATACTACCAGAGAAGAAAAGGCTTTAGATAACATTTCGTGCACTATCCAGAAAGGCAAAACCACTGCCTTTGTTGGTCCTTCCGGATCAGGTAAATCCACCATTGTCAAACTTCTTGAGCGATTCTACGACCCTGATCAAGGAAGAGTCCTTGTTAATGGCCACGACCTCAAGCAGCTTAACCTCAGACAGTTCAGACACAAAGTTGGCTATGTAGGACAAGAGCCTGTGTTGTTCAACGAAAGCATCAAAGACAACATGCTCAATGCAAAGCCTGATGCCACTGAAGATGAGATCATTCATGCCCTTGAACAAGCCAACGCCATGACCTTCATCAACAGACTGTCTGAAGGTATCAAGACCAATGCTGGAGCTTCTGGTGGTCAGCTCTCAGGTGGAGAGAAACAGAGAATTGCACTGGCCAGAGCCTTCCTGAAACAACCAGACTTGTTGATTCTGGATGAAGCAACAAGTGCTCTTGATCGAAGAAATGAGACCGAAGTACAGAAGGCGATCGAGAACATCAACAGAGAGACTGACATCACGACTGTGGTGATTGCTCACAGACTTTCCACTATTAAAAAGGCAGACAAGATTATTGTGATTGACAAGGGACAGATCAAGGAAGTTGGAAACCATGATTCATTACTTGAACAATATCCAGAAGGGATCTATGCTGGCTTAGTTAACACTCAACAACATGCTGAAGTAACTCCGAATTCAGACGATGAACTTGATGTCTCTCCAAGAGAATTGGAGAAATTTGAACCTACTCTTAATAAGACTCCTAGTCAACTTGATGCTCAGAGAAAACTCGAGAAAGAAATGTCAGAAGAAGCTGATCGCGAAAAAGAAGAACAAGACAAAGAAATAAATGACTTGAGAATCTTAAGAAAGAAGAATGGTTTCTTTAAGAGACTCTGTGCTCACAATAAGCCAGTGATCTTCGTGTTTATTGGAATCTTGGCATGCATGATTTCAGGATCTTTGTTCCCAACATTTGCTGTATTCTGGACTAAAATCCTCTTCGTAATGATGGACTTTTCCAACATGGGGTCACAATTGCTTAAATATTGTGGACTCTTGCTTGGGATTGGATTTGTAGCTTTAGTAGTTATCTTTACTGAGAAGTTCTTGTTTGGAAGCCTTGCTGAAACTATGTCAAGGAACATTCGTGAAGAGACTTACTCTGCAATCTTGAGAAAACATGTTGGATGGTTTGATTCACAAGAAAATACTCCAGGACAGCTTAACACTATCTTGTCTACAGAAGTGAACACTTTGAATGGAGCTTCGACAGAATCTGTGGCAGTGATGTTCCAATCATTTACAGGGCTCTTAATAGGTGTGGGACTTGCACTTTTCTTTGAGTGGAGAATTTCATTAGTGGCTCTGGCTGTAGCTCCAGTGATGATGCTCTCTGCAGCTATCAACTCTAAAGTTAAAGTTTCTGATCTTGTTGAAGGTCAAAAGAACGAAGTTAAAGTAAATTCTACAGTTTCAGACACTATTGTAAATTACACAACTGTTGCGTCATTTGCTAATGAATTTGTCCTGATCAAAAAGTATCAAGAAATTCTAAGTATAAAGTTAAAGAAGGATATTATGAAATGTTATATCTCGGGAATGTTGTTTGGATTCTCCCAATTCATGCAATTTGGAATGTATACAGTCATGTTTTGGTCTGGAGCAAAGTTTGTAGAGAAATATAATGTTAACCCTCAAAATCTTTTCACAGCTATCTATATCATGATGTTTGCAGCCATTGGAGCAGGTCAAGCTCAACAGCATGGACCTGCTGCAGGAAAAGGGATAGAGGCAGCTACAAAGATCTATAATATTATTGATGAACCTAGTCTAATTGATCCATTCCAGCTTAACTCCAACGAAAGAATTGCTACAAAAGAAAACATTAAGGGTCGCATTGAGTTCAAAAATGTATGGTTCAGATATCCAACCAGAACTGACAACTGGATCCTCAAAGGCCTCAACATGACCATCTCTCAGAATGAGTGTGTCGGACTTGTCGGCCAGTCAGGTGGAGGCAAGTCCACCATTATCCAGCTGCTGTACAGATTCTACGACCCACAGAAAGGCCAGATTCTTGTGGATGGACATGACATTAAAGAGTACAATGTCAGGAGTCTGAGGGCACAATTCGGGCTGGTCCAACAAGAGCCTGTGTTGTTTAATTACTCGGTCAAAGACAACATCAGTTATGCTAAAGAACATGCAACTCTTAAAGAAATCAAGGATGCAGCTATAGTTGCAAATGCCCATGACTTTATTCAAGAAATAGAGTTTGATGCCAATGCAAGCAAAGAGGAAACTAAATTCCCAGAGAACGCTATGACCCCTCTAAGAAGTTCTGATTACTCAGATACTAGTTTTGAAGAATTACCACCAGGCTATAACACCTTGTGTGGTGTCAAAGGTAGTAAATTCTCCGGTGGTCAGAAACAAAGAATTGCTGTTGCCAGAGCCATCATCACCCGCCCTCAACTTCTGATGCTCGATGAAGCCACTTCGGCTCTGGACGAAGAGTCACAGAAGAAAGTGCAGGACGCCCTCGACAACGTCATGAAAGAAACCACGTCAATCGTGATTGCCCACAGACTCACCACGATCAGAAAATGTGATAGACTCATCGTACTGGATCAGGGAGTGATGAGCGAAGAAGGAAGTTACGATGAACTGATGAGGGCTGGAGGACAGTTTGCACAGATCAGCTCAGACATGCAGGCATAATTATTTGCATTGCTAAAAGTATTTCAATATTAATACTTAGCATTGGGGTTTTGGGGTTTTGGGGTTTTGGGGTTTTGGGGTTTTGGGGTTTTGGGG